GCATGGGTAGGGTCCAAGCAAGTCAGACACGCCACCTGCTCCCCACTTCTTAGCCTTGGGCTCCCCCTCCCTGCCACCCCTCTCCTAATACAGCTCAATCCCAGCCCACAGCCCTGCTTGGGGAAACTGAGGCATGGAGGCAAAGTTATGTGCTCCGCATCTGGCTGTTTATGGAGTGACCTTAGGTGTTTGCTATTCCTGGTTCAACCGCTCCCACCGAAAGCGGAATTGGGGCTCCCCAGATCTGGGGCACATTCACAGGAAGCAAACCTGGGTGTCCACGATTGGAATGTTCCCACTACCAGCCCATCCTCCTGCCCGCCCACCCGTAGCTGCTTTTCCAGGCCCGGGGCTCTGACGACAAAACAGGATCCCCTGTAATTTGCTGTCTCAGGCAGGGATTCTCCCAGGAACTGAAACTAGAGCCCCCTGGAATTTACAGGGAGGTTGGAAAATGCCTAATGTAGCAACACGGCATTGGCCACTGGGAGGGAATTTGGGGGGAATGCACCCCCCCCCCAGCGGGGGGCATGGAAATCCCGGGGGTGTATATCCAGCACCTGGCTCCTGTATATTAGCTCCCCACCCCCATTCCTGTCTGCTCTGCCGACAGCGCAAGGGCACCCAGATGCCAATTGCACCATCAGACGCCCCCTCTTCCTCTGTTTCCTCGTGGAACGGCACAAGCCTCCCACCTGCGCGCTTGGGCACGTCCCGTCTCTGGCCTGGCTAGTGGCTGGGGCCGGGGGCTTCAGGACTGGGGTCCCGATTCTTGCTAGTTTTGGGGGCCCAACAGCCCCCCCAACGCTCCTAGAGATGCTGGGGGAAACGTGTCCCCCTTGTTTCCCTCTCCCGCCCCCGCCAGCATTTCACTGAGTTCTTGAGTAGTTAGTGAGCCCAAGAATGGGGCCAACAGCCCCCCCAACGCTCCTAGAGATGCTGGGGGAAACGTGTCCCCCTTGTTTCCCTCTCCCGGCCCCCGCCAGCATTTCACTGAGTTCTTGAGTAGTTAGTGAGCCCAAGAATCAGCTCCCACCCCGGCTGTCTGGCAGCGCCTCCGTCTGGGCCCTGCTTGGCTCTGGCCTGGGGCACCCCGTCCGCACCGCCAGCCCCAGGCTGAGAAAGTCCATGGAGACCCGCCCTCCAGGGCCAACCCCAAACCGCTGCCTCCCTGAGTCTCCAGGCAGCGCCTGGCCCGGACAGAGGTGCTCAGAGTCCATCAGCCCAGAGCCACAGGGCCCTGCTGGTTATGTCGGGCCAAAGAGGCCATGTGTGCCCCAGCCCACGGAGGGGGGTGCCAGTGCACCCGGGAACGGAGAGGAAACCCGGCCCCGCAGGAGGGGCTGCAGGGACCCAGAGCTGGGAGGGGGGGCGGAGACCAGGCCCCCAGGCCGCT